TGCGGAACCCGGTGGCCTGCGCGCGGGGCGGAACCCGGGGGGTGTGGGGGGGGCAAAACAGCCTCTGCCAGCTGTTTTGGGGTCCCGCTTTGCGGGGACCGGGCTGGCATCGCTGTAGCTGCCAGCACCCGTGCTGGATGCCGGCCCCGGCGCAGCGGCACCCGGTGCCTGGCAGCTTCGCTTTGGCCTTCGGTCGCATCCTGGACACTCTGCGGCTGAGTGAGGATCGCCGGCACCTGGACAAAGATGAAGGCTTTACCCACAAAAGATTTTACGTGGTCTGTTTTGAGAAGCACTGCGGCGATGGAAAGGGAGAGCGGGCAGCTCCAGCAGCACCGCCTTGCAAAGCACCGATTAAGTTTTATGCTGCTGTTGCAAGACGAGGCGACCTTGCTACCTCCCGCCTCACCACTGCCTCTTTGCAGGCTGCTGCGGTGGGCGTTGGTGGGATTTTCCCCACGTTTCAGCCCAAAGCGAGGGGAGGATGGGGAGATGCAGTCCCAAAGCAGAGCCCGAGCGTGGCGAGAGGCGCAGCCCCGCATTGCGGAGCCCACTGCGGGCAAGGGCCAGCCCTGAATTCCCCAAACGCTGCTGTCAAACTTTCCGGCACGGCTTTAAATCCACCAGCCCTTGCCTGGCTCCAGCTGGCCGAGCAAGCTGGCAGCAGCATGCGGATGAGAGCAGCTAGCAAGAGTCAAAGCATCTCCTGCTCGGGGGATAAAAAAAAAAAAAAAAGAGACAGTCCCCATAAATCATGAGCTAGTTACTGACGGAGAGGACTCCCCTCCCTCTTGCTCCGCACACTGCGGCACGAATTATGGCCCCAACTTCACTGTTGTTCAGTGATGAACATCTGAAAAGGCTGTGACAGATGAGAAAAGGGATGATTTAACAGCCATAAATCCAGTCAGCTTAGAGGTGTTTTTACAACCAAGCCCATCTTGAATCCCCTCTGTTATGAATGCTTATCACTCCCAGACGCTACTACAATGGAAAGATTTTTAACAGCTTTAATAGAGACGCAATAAAACCCCCAGAGCCCAGCAAGCAAACGTCCTTTTTATCCCTCGAGAGAGGGAGAGGGGGCTGAGAGCCGCTTGCTGCGCTCAGGCTTGAAGGATCGGAGCTGGAGCAGCCACCAGGCCACTCCTAACCCCTGGGTTTAATGGATGGGTGTCGCCATCCGAGGGCTGTATCAGCTTTCCCAAAGCCATTGCATAAAGGGTGTAATTAATAACCTGCAGGGAGCGACGGGGACACAGGCTGTGCCCGTAATGTACAGCACCTTCCTCCTCCAGCGCTGCTCTTACCTTTGCCAGGGTCTCCTCCTGCAGCTACCCAAATCACAGCTGGTCTAACCCACCTCCGGGGATTTAAAATGAGGGCGGTCTCAGCTCAGCTGAAGACCCTCCTGGGTAGGGTGCCATCCCTCAGCTGCCCCCTCGCCTCCTTTAATGCACCTCGTTTCTCATGCGTTAAAGGCTAAATGGGCTCAACAACCACCACCCGACAAGCGGGGTAGGGACACCGCTCCCTGGCGCTTTGGGGAGGCCGGGAGACCTCCCAGCTTGGGGTTCAGTGGCCAAGGATCTTACTCCCTCTTGCTGTGCATGCTGCCCCTCTAGCCTTTCTATACCATTCTGCAAGTGCAGGCTGCACCCGGCCGGCAAAATCAGCAGCTGGGAGGAGCTGAGGGTGCACCCGCTGCAAAGGGCACCCGGTGCTGAGCAAATACCTGAGGAATAAGCACCTCCTTTCTTATACACACAAGCTTATCAGGCAAGGCAATAAGTAATCCATTGGACGGAGGGAACAAAAGCCGTCCCAGGGCCCGTGGCTTCTGGTTTGCCGTAGCTGGTCAGCCCGTACCCGTGTGAAACCCCAGGTAAGACATCCAAGCGCGGGCTGCAGGGCTGATGGGTTTCCCTCCTGCAATGGTGAATCTGTGGAGTGCTCCAAGGAGGGTAATTAAAAAGAAAAGAAGGAGCAGGGCAAGCTCCTTCCTAAGAGAAACGTGACCATGAAACCCTGCCCCTGGGCTATCGAGTGAGTAACCAGCACTGCAGGGCAGGGAACCGGCTCAGCTTGGCCATACGGAGACCGGAGGGGACGTGGTCTCCAAAGCCTGGGTGGAGGATGACGCTCCCAGCCCATTAATCTAAGGGAACATCTTTTTTTAATAAGATAATACTGAGTAATTGATTTTTAAATACACTGAAATCAAATGTCCCGAGGCCAGAGCAGGATCCCAGCTCCATCGTCAGATCAGCGGCGACTGGCAGAGATTGAGCGCGCAGGGGAAAAGAAAATAAAAATTAAATCTCCTTCGTGTGCCTAGCTGGCTCCGGGGCAAACGCTAACGTTTCTTTAAAAGGTGCATCAATTTTTCCCTATTAAAAAAGTAGGTCATCAAAAGGGAGAAGCCGGCGGGGACTGAGCTGGGGAAGGCACCAGGGACCATCAAGGCCAAGCAGGCAGCATGGAGAAGATCCATCTGATTAAAACACACGGCAACGGCTGAGCAAGAAAGTCATTTTTAAGACAATTTATTCCAATCTCTCTCTCTCACTCCATCCTTCACGCAGTCAGGAAGGGTTTATGGACATTTTTTATTTTATTTTATTTTAAATTTTTTTGGTTTTTTTAGAAAAATACACATGCAAATAATATACGTTTCAATGCTGAACTTTTTTTCTGTGTTGGGAAAAAAAAATAATAATAAAGAAACGAAGCAGGATTCGGGAAAGACCCGAGCGGAGACAGTCCTGGGGATGCTGCAGGGATGGGATGCTCCGAGATGCAGGTCTTGCTGATGCTCGTGCTCC